CTTCGCCATCGGAAATGCGGCCCTCCTTGGATGACACAGTGTCTAAGGGTTAAAACAAGGTGCCATTTAGTAAATTACAAAGTGCTGCAGAAAACAGACCTTTATGCTATGGTTTTTCCAGCGTTTAATCCAAAGCAGTGCAGAGACGATGGCTTGACGGTTGTTTAACCAAATGCCTAATCGCCTTGGCTCCGCGAATCACCATATTATGCATGACGAGATTGTCAAAAGAGCATTCATCGAATAAACCACCTATAATGGTACTTAATGAGCTCATTTCGCAGAGGAAGGTTCGAGCAACTGCTTCGATAAGAGTTTCAAACGAAAGGCTGCCTACCACGACCCAGTGCGACGGTGCCAAGCATAAGGAACAGAAAAGGAATCATCCAATTAAAGGGAGGAACGGACGAAGCTTCGCATACTTGTTCCGCTCTCTTGTTATGCAAGGAAAGAAACCAGTCAGATGTCACTAATCGTAAACAATACAAAAGCGTCAGTTATAGGCTGCCTAGGCTGCCAACTGCTCAAGTGGAACCTTAATAGACGCGTGCATGGTAATGGCACACAAAACATAGTTCAAAGTCCAAATACAGAGTGACAGCTCGATGATCTCGTTTTTAATTAACTTTTCAGTTGACTATTCTTATTTTTGTCGAACACCTCTGGACCTGCCAAATAGCAAGTGAAGCTCACTAACTGAAGAGCAACGATTAGCGTTAGGCAGAAGGAAATCGGTGAATCCTATTCCAATCAGTTTAAAAAGAAATAAAACTGTGGTCGCCATGCTATCCTGTAGTTTCATCATCGACAGCAATGCTCAACATCTCTCAATCGTCATGGAAATTCAAGGACCACCATTCCTGACTCATAATTGTGGCCTACGTGAGAGAGTGGTAATGAGGAGTGCCAGGCACAATGATGAAAAAGGATTACATGGTGGTTTGAATGCCTTTATGATTCCGTTTTCGCTTGTAACTCTTTACGATACAGTGTGTTCAGAAGAGACTAAAATGGTCGAGGTAAAAATAAAAAGAAACTAGTAAGTTGCAAGTGTTAAGAAGCGCAAATATTAAGTCCCAGAACAACAGAAAAAATCCCTTTTGAGATAATCTCGCGACAGAAGACCTTTATGGAGAAGCAGCAAGAGCAAAAAAAGATTACATAGTTTGCGAAGGTCTTATTGAGAAAGGCTTTTATGCTATACACCGAAGCCAATTAGTTTGCAAACGTTAAATCTTTATTATGCTCTCACAGTTGCCCTTGGCCGATTTTCAGAAGCCACATCAAGAAGTCACTGAGAGTACCAGTTTTAAAATCATACATTGCGATGACTGCTGAGAAGTGAATTGCAGAACACTTAGCAATTCACTTCCCTCAATCATGAGACTACAATTTCTTAACAAAGGGGGCTTGTATAGATGAAACTGTCGATGCAGGATGGGTTACAGCTTTGCTATTCAAGTAGTCTGGGAGAAGAGCCACATTGCAGTTTTAGCATTCACGGTCAGCTTATGGTGAGCGCAGTACCGTAGTTCCATGGAGTACTGCTTTAAATGTCTTTTGATGACAAAATCTGTAAGTTATGCGTTTCCAACGGATGCTGTCCAATAAATCACATCGTTTCTTCGAGAGAACCGGGTACAATTAATAACAGGTATTGCATGAATAATAAGCAAGCAAAGACGTAATGCCAAAACAACAACAACAACAACAATCTTTGACCTAGGAAAGGACATGGAGACCTAACAATTCCAACTAGTACATTTGTGAAAAGTAGGCACGCTTGAAGATGAAAAAAACAACCCATCGTAACAGGTAGGATTTAAGCTTATTTTGTAGCAATTTCTAAGGTCAAATCCGAGCAGAAAGTTATTCAAAGACAAATTTTTATAAAATGGAGTAGTGGTGGGAAGAAAGAAGAGTAACAAAAATGTGCGCTTAAGTTTAAGTTAAGAGTCGGATCTCATATGCCGAGGCAATGCATTATTTCATAAAGAATATGTATTTATAATACATGAAGTTAAAATGACAAAAACTAATTGCCGAGAGTTTTGACTAAACTCAATACGTAAGAAAATTGACAACAAATTTAACATCAGTCAATGCTGAATCAACGAGTTCATTAAAATCCCAGCAACGACTAAATGATCTAGCAGAAAGAATGTTGACATAGGAGCCATAAATTCATGCAAAGCCATTCAACCAAGTGGAAAGAGAAGCACGCCTATTCAAATATGCCTGAGGAGGGAGTACAGAAGGAAGGCAAGTAAAGGCACGCACGCACACGGGCGAGAGGAGCTGGCGCAGACGAAACACCACGCGCGCATTCTCGCGCTCGCCAACGATCGATAGCCTCGATGCTGCTGCGCTCACCGCAGAGTTGGTACCGACTGAACGGCCTATAATCACGCCTGGCCACGAGTAACGGAGGTCAGTGGAGAGCATTTTCAAGAGCGTAGCAAAACCAGCTTTATCCATTCATCAAAGTAATGTACTTTTGCACCTTTTGGCGTCCAGATTCAAGAAATCTGAGCTCTCAAACTGAGGAACTGGTTTCAGAGATGAATTGCTTAGAGTAACCATATATGCACCAACTCCAACTATGTGTGTTACAAACAAATGCACTTGCGGGTGTGTTTATGATTAAGCCAAAGTAGAGTAAGGTGAAGATCAATTCGATCCACCCAATAAAAATATCGTCGAAATCCAAGTCGAAGGATTAACTTGTATTTCGCTTGCGAACGTGAGCCGAATCATGAGATCAATTCGAAGTGGTTAGCATATGACTGATAAAGCAACTTACCCCAAAGAGTCAGGTCAGAAAAGGCGGAGCTCAAGGTTCTAAGGCGCAGCATTCGTCCCTTACTTAAAAGATGAGGTATTCCAAATGGTAAATCAGATTTTTGTTTTGCTAACAGTAAGGAAGTAGATTGGGGAAGGAATTCACAGGGTACAACAGTATCAATAAAAGGTAGGGCGAATAAGGTACCAAAGTCGAATCAAAAACCACAAAAAGGACGGAAATCACTTGTTGAATATTTGTAAAGCTCTGTTTCTTAGAGGGAAAGGGAGTGAGGGCTGATTTCAACTGACCTAAGTAGGTATTTGTCTTGCCCTTAATAGTAGCTACATTTGGACCAATTCCTTCCAGCTTTCGAGTGCAAAGCATTTTAATGTCCAAGCGGCATTTCATGCCAGCGCTAACCATTACAACTTGATTGGTATGGGGGCAATTATCTCAACCCGATATTATGAACTTGGCAGGAGACAGCAATTCAGGAGACACTTCGTTTTCTTGCTTAAAATTAAAAAGCGCCTTCGATTTGGCCTAAATTAGAAGATCGAAGAAGGCGGAGTGTTTCGAATGTTACAGAGACCCACGAATTTACCAAGAATTTGAAAAGGACTTGTATCACATAAAAAGGCTTTTTAACTTTGTAAAACATATGCGCATATTCTCCCCTTCCATCAAAAGCGACTTTCAACAAATTAATGTTCAAATGTTCAATGTTCAATGTTCAATGTTTCAAAGTTTACTTTGAAGTAAACTGTTTTCAACAGCAAAGCGAAGAATGTCATTGCATAGGGGAACTTATTTTATTAACTGTGGTTGAAGATCACCACATTGATTAAATACAACTCCTGAAGCACGGAGAAGGTTTAACAATAGACTGCGAAAGGCGATTTTGGCACAAAACCAAAAGAGAACTCATAATTATGCGACAAAATTCTGGAATCTCATCACCTGGTTGCAACTTATGCCGCATAAAGGTAAGTTCTAACGCAAACCAAGACTATTCAAAATCAAAAAGCAATAAAGCATCTGCTTCGCCAATGGTACAAAAATTCCTCTCAGTGTTCACCACACCCTCGCAATTTCATGACAAAAAGCAATAACGTGAGAGGAGCAAGGTAACCAAATCGGGTTCAAAATGGACATAGTATGTGGGCATGGCGCTTAACAGAAAATAACTTTATAATGGTGATGAACAAACCACAAAGCAAATTTGACGAGTTTTCAAAAGCCGATTTTAAGTTGATGAAGACATAAGAAATTGTAAGAACACAGCCATGAGATTTCAACCAATCGAAATTATTTAGGGCAAAATCGTTTGCAAGTGATGAATGGCATTTTCTTACCACTTAACCATAGGAGACAACAGAAAGTCTGATGCATTTTTAAGAAGTGATAAAGGCCAGTACTTCTATGCCGATGGCCCGCTCTGGTACTTATTGAAAAAATATGCGTTTCCGACCTAGTGAAGTCAAGCAGAGAAACAACAAAACTAGCACAGGAGCGCTCACCCTCAGGTTCGGAGCTGTCCCGGATAGGGGTGGAGTGACCGGAATGGGAGGAGGCAAGGTGGGCAGGCGAGGATGTATGGGGAGGTGGCGGTCGTGCAGGTGAGGGACTCCGTGGCCTTGAGGGCGAAGTGCTGTGGTTGGAGCTGCCGGATTCGTTCCTTCAAGATCAAACAACCAAGTTCTCCCCATTAATAAATTTCTAGACCCTATCTGCAATACCAATGATAGCTGACTAGTGATTTAAAAAGGCACCTTGAATTTTAGTTCCCAATTCCTTTCCACTTAACTTTTAACATTTCCAAAGGACAAAGGATTGACGCATCGCCGGTTGGAAGATTGTACAAGTTATTATTCTAACCAGTAAACTAACATAGTAGTGTAGATACAAGCGTGTGGGGCACATGGACATGGAATTTGAAGCCCATTTGGCACGAGTTTCTCATCAGACCTACAGGGCGAAAGTCCTTCTGATGGATCTGTTAAAGCAACTATCCACGAATCCATTCAATTGCCACCAAAGTAGAACTATAACTTCAGGCATTCTTCGCTCATAAAATAGGTTTTTTAAAAATTTCTAATGTGTTTTGTTGCAACAAATGGTCACCTTTCACGGAGTATTAAACCATAAAACCTTAGAGCACAGTCATGGCAAAGTGATGGTATAATTTATTAACTCTAGGCAGTTGAGAAAACAGTCAACTACCGGATTCAGCAATCAGGCTGAAAAAAAACACCCACCAAGATCTTCGCGTTTGGCGCGGAGTGAGAGTCACTGAGTGTTTTACAGCCTGGTTGGTGCGGTCTGCTGACTGGACAAAGTGACTGGTCGCTGCTGCAATAACGGCCTGTTGCTGTTCAGGTGACAAGCCTAGGAGCAATTGCATTTGGACATAAGGTGAAGCGGCTAACTCTCCAGAAATGAAGGATAAGCTAAGATGTATAGACACTGTCCTTTCAGCTTGCCTCGAAGAAACAGTTTAGAGCATTCGAATAATGTGATTAAACAGCACAATCAAATTGAACGAGGGCAAAAGTACAGGTAATTGTGATTGATGTAGAGGCTGGGAGCAGGAATGCAAGCTGCATGAACTCACTCCCGTAAGAAAGAAAGCGCCTCAACCAAAGGCTATTTCCAATGGTAGATGACGTAACAGACGCTAAAGACATATTTAGTAAAATCAACAACCAAGAGAAAGCACCCAGTGGAAAGTAAAAAGCCACAGATGGCGATACTAAGAAGAAATATTTTGTGGACCCACTTACCCACCCCTTCACCTCCGTCTTCTTCCCATTCTCTCTCTTCTGCTCTTACATCTTCTACCTCCTTTTCCCCCTCCTCCTCCTGTTCCTCTTCCAACGCAGTCTGCTCCTCGTCCTCCGAAGGTTCAGTAGGCTCGCCATCAGGCCCTGTGACGACGACCTCCGCAGGCGGCATCTTGGCAGTCGTATGGGTGTCCGTCTCACCAGTCGCCACTGTATCGACGAGGTCTGCAATCAGGAGACTATCAACCATTGATGCTGGCGTTGCTGGCTTTGGTACACTCGGTGAGGAGGTTGGACGAGCAGGCGATTTCGGTCGAGCCGGTGAAGCATTGACCTTGACGTTCGATGCTGATGGCGACCGTTTGGCTACAGACTCCAATGGCTTCACAGATGTTTCCTTCACCTCCTCCTCCGCATCGTTATGATCATCATCTGCACTGCAGTAATATGGAAAGAGGAGAGCTAACTCTGACTTGGAACTCTATACAGCGATTCGTGCATACTAAACCCTACCACAGCTCAAAAAGTTCAAAAAACAAATCCAAATGGACGGTTGAGCCATTGTGACAGATATGTAGAAATTGTACCATTACAAAAAAGTGCTTAGCGATGAATAAACCTAGAATATGCTTTAACAAGCCAAAGTCGACAATGAGTCAATTGTCGATTCAATCAATGGAGGAGAAAATATGCGGAATTCGAGTGCCGGAAAATTTCCGAAAGTCCACACTTAAATCTCAAAAATAACTCCGGCCTCAGTTGTAATTCGAGGATTTGGAAAGAAGCGCATCGTGGAAAATAAATTTTAAGAAGACTACCCATTCTACCACCCTTTTCATAAGGAATGCATCCAGAATTTATAGGATCGGTAGTATAAATTACCTACCCTTTTATGCCACCATATCAATAACAAGATACAGATTTTACATCAGTGGTTACAATACCGCGCTACTAGAATTTCGAATGTGTTTAGGACGACCGCTAATTAACCCGTGAAGGGAAAAAATTGCCCAATGCTTTATAGATGAGCATTCAAGAGCGACGGAATAATGTTACTCCAATTTTAGTGAGTCCGAAAATGCCATCTTCATGCCCAAACAGACTGATTTTCGATAAACGAAATGAGATCTGAATGACAATCCTGAAGCAGAGAGGCTTGGGCGCCAATATAAAGTCAATGATATTGTGCACTAATAAGGTCAAGATGAAACAGTGATTGTAAATTCGACTGCTTCCCATAAAGAAACCTAAATGTTTTATTCCTTATTTGGTACAACACGGATACCTGGTTCTGATGCCAGATCTCCCTCAATGAGAGTGCAATTAAAACAAGAGAACAGCCAAAAAAGTGCGTTAACTATAGCAAAAGAAAGATGTTCAAACACAATAAATAATTTTTACAGCAAAGAGCATTAAAAAGAATGATAGATCTGTCGATTCCCAGCAACGTACACTCAAAGAAACCAACCCAAACTGTAAGAAATTAAAGAACAGCGCCACTCCGCAATTTAATGCCACTAGCGTGTCTGTGTGGAAGGAAAGTGGGATCAAATGTTCTGAACAGTTGGAAAACGAAACAACACAGTCCGTAGATTAATGCGAACTTCGATCGCTCGTGAAAGTCTGACGAAATTAAGCTATTCAAAGTAACTGCTAGATCGGAATTGTTATTTAGCACCTTCCCTATAAGTGGTTTTCATGAGGAGGAAAATGCAATACGAGCATCCTGACTTAGAAAGATTCTCACATTTTGGTTTGCCCTAACGATAGCACGGGATAAGGAAACGAGCAAAATAGTATGAATGCAATTAACTATTCCCATTTTGGCGAAAATAAGCTGAATACCATACCATACAATTGCGCGATTTATAAGAAATTCAATGTACACTTTATAGTTAAGGGAAACAGGGAAGCTTCTCGCCTGAGACGTTTAAATCAATCCAAAGCCGTCAAAATTTGCATGAAACAATACGGTCCGGCAGAAAAACCAATTTTGATTATAAAATGGAAAAAGTAACGATCGACCAATCGCGAGATGCAGAAGACATATAGACTGTGATACGTAAGACAGTGTATAACTAGGCAAAATGATCTCACCTCGCCTTCTTCTTCTTTTTCAGGAGAGCAAGATGCTGTTCCATTGCTTCAAGCACTTGCGGAGGCACCTTTGACAAGTAAATAGTGCAAATCGGTTGAAACTCCGACAGCAGAATGGAAAAGAAGGATATGTCAATGAAACCTCCTTACAGGGTGCAATCCCATCGACTCCTTGTCCCCAATTCCAAGACTCTGCAGCAATGTAATAGCAAAATATTCGCCAGTGATTGTTGAAATGTTAATGGTCTCAAAAACATGTGTACCCACCTCTGCCAATGTCAAGAACTCATCAACTTTAGTCATCACATTAGGAAAATCCCGATAAAGTTCAACAGCAGTCTTGCAGTGAGAAGACTTCATTGAAAAGTACTTCTCTGTATCAAAGATAAAACCGTTTATTTTAGGGTGGATCAATGAAAATAATTTATAAATACAAACTAACCAACGAGATTCATCATGCCTTCGTTGTATGAAGCGAATAGCCGTATGAGATCCTTGTAAAGTAGGATAAATGCTGCGTTAATAATCAGATTATTGAGATCCTTTTCGGTAGCCTAAGATACGCAGAGATAATGAGCCTTCAATGTGAGGAAATATAGTATAAATAATGCACTTGACATACCTCAAACTCGAAGAGAACGTTAAGTTGATCCCGCAGAACAGGAAGTGCTTTCAATAACTATAATCAATATGATTAAGTGCGATTGAAATTTTAAAAAAAGCAAAGGCAGCATACGCCTGTACAACAATCAATGCCAAACGACACAAAATGTAGTACACGTAGCTAGTGCACGGTTTACGAATACTTCACCTTATCAGCTGGCATAGTACGCATGACACCATCGTCTTTACTAAAATCAGGTTATTTCATTTTATCAGTTTGCATCTACAAGCATACACAGGCGTGTCAAGAATAACAGAGAGACAACGCATGGCATAGATTTCAATAGGATGAAAAGCAATGTAAGAGGTAAGTGTTTACAATCAGTGCTAGAAAAATGGATAATGAAAACTTTAGCTTCAAACTTTAAACTATTTCGACATAAAATAAAATAAATGTCCATCATGCACAGGCAAAAACGATCCTCAAGGTAGGTCACTAAACTTACCCACGCTTAACTTTACAGAAATCAAACGCCATCATCTGATATGATTTAGTTTTTTCTGCCAAATATTTGGAATATTTGCGGATGAACAGAGACATTTCATAAGCTAATATGCATAAATCTATAAGGATATCTTACATTGCGAGCTTGATTTATCATTAAAGTGAGGGAGATGAAACCGGCAGTTATTTGAAGCCATGTATTGTGAAATTTTCTACAAAATGTGTCTCAACTAATGCGTACTTCATTTCCGTAATTAAGTAGGTGATGAGTGGTAATTAGTGCTTTGAATACAACAACCCAGGATTTTTCGTGAGTTCTTTCGGATAAAAAATTGACCAAAAGAGGTATAGATACATTTGGTTCATTGCTCAATCGTGTCAAATCTAGATAGGAAGGTAAAATTGGCATTTTTACTTTCCAAGTGTTTCCGTTTGGGAGCAATCAATTCCTCTGTTGAAGCCTTAGCAACAACTTTTCCAAGAGCAGACCCAGCCAAACTGTATTTTGCCTGAGTAACTCTGTCCATAAAACTTTGACCAGTCCCACTTCCCGCAAGCTGCTTCGCCATTTTGCCTGCCATCTTTGCCGTCATCTTTACTCGAAGGCCCGAAATGGACTTCCAGCATAGACTATCGGGGAGTACTTTGAGGTCATAAGAGCATAGTGATCGATTTAAAAAATGCAAACTATTCCTAGTAATTTCGTTACGCTTAAGTGTATTAGGCATTGCACTAAGTTAAAATTCATTAAACTCTGATTAGGAGTAAAAGCTATAAGTATGATGGTTAAAAAAATTCATGCATAATTGTGCGAATTTTGGTTGCAAGCCAAGTTGAATGGTGTGTTTTTGCATTCTAAATGCCTAAAGAAAAAAATATGTTTTTTTTAATGTGCTGTATTCTTTTACAGTTAATTATAAAACGTTAAAAGTTAAGGATTTTTTATTGCTGTCCTAAGCTACGCTATATATGTCAAATCTAGCCTTCATCACTTGGTTTAACATATTTGTATTTGTTTTAATTTTTTCTTAGTTCGGGCGGCCCGACTAATTTTAGTACCTGACACTCGATGGTTTTGAAAGACTTGGCTGCTATCAATGATCTTGCTTGTAAAGATCCCTCTCTAAAAGGTGAGTTGTTCTTTGTGCCTACTTCCAGCCACGAATGACTACGAGAAAGCTCTATCTTATCAGTATCTCGAATGGAAACAGAAATTTACTGGCTCCATCGGTAATAAAGCAAATCAAACAGGTCATCTCATGGTACGCACTTTACCTTCTCAGAACCCTTTAGGCGCTTTCAAGAGACTTGATGTCTCGAACGTTTATTACTGGAAATTCGTTAAGAGCCATAGATATAATCATCGCTAGTTGCATCGAAGATTATTTGGTAGGAGTTTAGATTTTACTGCCTATTTTAGCTTAACATGTCATTTGAAGAAAAGGATAAACTCTCAGGTGCTTTGCGTTGGTACACACTTGTGCAAAAACTGTGTCCGTCTCTGGCATTTGTGCCGTTCCAGCGGGTGAAAATGTACTGATCCTGCTGTCATCCAGTTCTTGTCTGCTATTCTCCTGCATCTTTATCTCGACTAATGCAGGGGTCAATGTGTAAAGGCTTGGTGTATTTAATAAAGCTGTTGACTCACGTGATTTCACTTTCGTCTCACTTACTCTCTATCTCATTTGTAGCCCTTTCTTTTTTGGCTACAGAATCCCATGAATTTCGATGGCGCCGTCGTTCTCGCTCCCATGGTTCGTGTCTCCACACATCCTATGCGTTTACTCGCTCTCCGCTACGGCGCTACATATGTTTATACCGAAGTATGCTTGTTTTCAAAAGCGAGATACCTCGTCCTAGCTACAGTAGTTTCATTTGATTTAACTAACTTGTTTCGTTTTTACAGGAGATAATTGATTACAAGCTTCTCACAACAACTCGTATTGAAAACAGTGAGTCTGTAATACCTCATTACTAATTTGTCTTTAATGCACAGACGAGCATATTATTCGAATTCTGTTGTACCAGAAAAACTGGGAACCATCGACTACGTTTGCGATGACGGTTCGATTGTGTTTCGTACATCGCCCGAGGAGAAGGACAAAGTCATACTTCAGCTGGTAAGTGTAGTTCTTGGCTCGACATTTCACTGTTGATGAGGCAGAAGCTGGATGCGCTTTTCTCTTCCGTAGGGCACTGCGGATTCTACTCGAGCCTTAGTAGCTGCACAAAAAGTGTGCGTTAGTATACTATTTCACTCTTGTTTAAACTTATATTTAACGCTGATTGCTCTTTTCTGATCCTTGTTTTCAGTCAAGATGATGTTGCTGCGATCGATGTAAATATGGGCTGCCCCAAGCAGTACTCTATCAAAGTGCGTTCTTCATGCTGCTAATGATCCAGCACTCACTTTGTTAAGATGTTATAGGTATATCAGGATTCATGGGATATATTTTCATCTCTGTGCGAGCATCGTGTCCTCATATTTCTGTTTTGGCATAAATTCCTGTAAGAAAATTAGGCACTGGGTAGAATGGTAGATATGGTATTTTGTTGAGCCATCAAGTATTGGGGTTTCTTCATTCTCGTAGTTTTTTTCTCTTCATGCAGTTGGATATTACCGTCCAAAAGTGCTTACGCTTCTTTTTGTTTCAGGGTGGCATGGGCGCTGCTCTTTTGCGCACTCCTGAGAAGATAAAAGCTGTTAGTTGGCTTATTCTTCTTTTTTATGTCCTTACATTATTTTGGTAGCAGTAAAAACTATTGCGTAGTCCTTCGCAATGATAAATGTAGCTGCTTCTTCTCTGGATAGAACTGATGGAAATCCATAAAATTGGTTAGTACCAATTTGTGATATGCTCCCCATTAGAAATCAGCAAACGCCTGCTCACTTAAGCTTTGTGGATGGTTGGATGTGGTACACTTGATTGCATCTTATCCTTCCCAGATTCTGACCGAGCTTGTCCAATCCCTCCGTGTTCCCGTGACTTGCAAGATAAGGATCCTCAGCACAGTATGTTGATAAGATTTGTGAATGGGATTTTGGCTAATTTTTTCGTGGGGATCCTCGTACCTGATGTTCAAACCGCTAAAATGCTGTAATGCGTTGCGTTTTAAGTACTGTCAATTATTTATTCATATGCTCGAACTGCGAGGTTTTTGGCCCCGAATCCTGAGTTCATTCTGCTCTGAAAAGTCGTATCCTTTCCTTAAGCAACTCCACAGCTTCCTTCCTCTTGTTATGAAGTTTGTTTTTTCACCAGCAGCATTTTTGTCACTCAAGTAGTTTCAGAGTCTGGACTTGGATTGCCATTCACGCTTCATAACCCCAAACCTAAAGCAAGCCATTAGTCGCACTTTTTTCTGTAGTTTTATCCGCGTTTAATGCGTTAAGTTTAGTCCTTTTTTTTGGTGATCACAGATGGAGGAAACTTTGTCAGTGGTGCGTCTTATTGAATCAACAGGCGTGGCTGCGATTGCGGTTCATGGACGTACTCGCGAAGAGCGTCCGCGCGACGCCAATCACAACGACGTCATCCGCGCCATCGCCCAGGCTGTGAAAATTCCGATCCTTGCAAAGTGAGCGCCCCTGTCATTTTATTATGCATAATCTATTCACTGATCGGTTTTTGTTCATAAGGGATGTTTGGTTCTAAGTGTTTCCAACTGGGGTCAAACCATTGACGAACTGGATCGAAATGAAATTGTCTGTATTTATTAGCTTAGATTCGTTGATCTTTATGCTACTCACTTCATTTGGAAGCAACTTGGATACAAATTATTCCTCCCATGCGTTACCACGATGTCAGTATCGTGGCTTTTTTGTGACACCAACTAATTTACTGATTGTCAATATTTTCATCTTTTATGCATGCGATCGGACCTAATTTTGTTCGTTTGCACAATGTAAAGACGAACGCATGACTTACCAGGGCAGAGCAATTTATGGGAATGGTTTGCACATTTTCTACCTTTGACGTCTGCAGCACTCCCAAGTTATGCGATCAAATCCATTCGGATTGTTTGAGAGCAGCAATTCTTTCCAATTCCCTCGTATAATCACATAAACGTTTGATAAAGTTCTTTGAGAGTTGGAGCGAATGTAAGAACAAAAAGTAATGTTAGCTTAGTTCCACTCACCTTCAGCGCATTATTGAAATATATTATTTCTCGATGTTCGAGATTTGGCGTTGAGTAGGACGTTACGGCTGTTTTACAAACTCTAACTTTTTCAATATTTTTAAGGCTATGCAAAGCATTTTCCATATTAATTCGGATTCTTATAGTATCGAGCTCCTTGATGTGGGCTCCCGCTCTTATCAGCAACTTTGAGTGAAAATTTACCCTGGAGAGCCTGTAAGACACGGGAGTTGATAACCAACTCCAAGGTCGGTAATAAAGGGGGCTCATAAACATTGTAACAGGTGTATTATGTGCACTCTACTCGGCTTTTTTTGCAATCAATCAATCTTTGAATTCTATTTCCTTGTAGCGGTGGCTCAAGGGATACAATTCGCTTGCACGAAGACATTGAATTCTTCCGTCAGGCGACAGGAGCATCGGGTGTAATGATTGCCCGTGCGGCTATGTGGAATCCTGCCATTTTTGCACCACCACCACCCGACGCACCTCCGCCCTCCGATATGCGACTCGTTTGTGAGTACCTTGAACTCGTGAGTGCCAGCCAGTTTCGGTCTAATTGGCGAAAAGTATTGACGAACCTCATTGCCTTTCTTCCAGTAGTTTGGTTTTGAAGCCGCAGGTACAGCTGCCTCTACAATGCGTTCATTACCACCGCAATGTGTGCGTACTTTTGGCCACCTTGGTTTCCTTCGATGAAGGAAATGTGTGCCCTCATTGTTACGTCTTTTTAATTACTAAAATCAAAAAATGTCTTACCAAAATGTGAACCCAAAAGTGACGACGTTGTACTAGTGCGAAGTGAAAAATGATGAAATAATATGAAACAAATCTAGCTGTCCATAGGTGCTGCAATGTTCACGCCGTACAATAAGCTCAATATAAGACTTTAGCTGCTGTTAGCAGTGCGTCCAACATTACTTAATATTTTCGGTTGTTACACCAAAACATTTTGTACAAAGCAAACTTCTGAGTTTGCTTTATTGTTATTTTGTTCTCTATCTCCCTGATTTCGTGGTGCAGTTCTATTTGTACGGTATCTATCCACTTCTGATAGATATTGCTATGAGGCGACTTCTAGCTATTTTTCTTCCTAATTAGGCAGTGAAATATGATCATAACATCATTGGAACAAAGCAGTGTATTCAACGTATGTTCAGTGAAAAGACCAGCTGGCCGGAATACGTGAAGACAGGATCCGTTGAAACAATGGCCGAGCTGTGGTAGGTGCTGACAAAAGGGAACACTCTTGTATGGCAACATAAGAAGCAGCTTCAGAGCGAGGTGCTAAATACCTTATGTTAGATCCTTCTCTGAAGTTTGATGCCTTGTACACTTTTACCATCATGGCCATAAAGCAATGATATGCAGCATTTTCAAAGGTGAGCAGTAGGACAAAGTACCGGTAGCCCATTAGCATGCAGCCAATGTTGCCTTTGGAGTAGAGGAAACCGACTGCTTGTGAATTCAAGTTGCAGAGCAATATACTAGTAAAAAACTAAATCGCTGTCAAGGAAGTTCCATGATATTTCATTCACATTTCAGAGGCATATTCCTAGATACTTCGAAGTATTAAGAAACTTCGTATGGAACCAAAATGCCTACATTATTACGTTATCCATGTATCACCAAATAAATAGCTACTTGTGTCAATCGCGGGCGGAAATTGATGTTGGTGATGCACACGATAATCATTTTTGCTCCCATAAACGGTGTTTAATCGGTCATCATGGGTGAGGCTCAGCTATTGCATCCTGGCCTTTACCATGCACACACTTTGTCCAAATTCACCGCAATATGCCGGTCCGATTCGAGGTTGTTAGGCATAGCCTGAGGTTAGTGGAGGCAAAATGATGGCTCTGCAGTAGCCGATGACTCTCCGCACAACCGAGTTCACGCATACATCGTGGAATGAAGCGACTTGATTGCTGGACGTGATTG